ATATATATATATATATATAGAACTTTTACTCCCGTTAGCCTTATTTCAACCTCTTAATCTGACCTTGTCTGCAAGACCAGCTCATCAGTGGAGGAGTGAACTGGAGTACAGTGGCTTGTATCCCAATAGAATCATCAGGCTATTTTGATTCCTTGGTCATACACTCCCTGCTGAATTAGTTAGGCCTGTTGGGTACCTTCAAGGGATTAAGTTGTCTTCACAAATCAGTTTCACTTCATCTGCTCAGTAAATCCCCAGTGCTAAACTGCTGCTGTTCTATGGACTCAGATGGAACCCTCTGGGCAAAGAAAGCTGTAGGCAGTCCATCCAGGCAAGTTACACCCTTCTAAGCTGTTGACTTCAGTGCACTGAGAAGGGTATAAATCTTCTTTGAACTGCACTAATGGTTGCCTAAACCAAGTTTAGCTAAATTGCAACATATAATTAGCAACACATTGAGATGAACAAAGTTCTTCAATCCAAGAAATGCTGGAAGAGAAGATCTGGGACACAGATAATGAAACCATTTTGCCAGAGATACCACAAATATGGGCAGTGCCCTATAAAACTCAAGGAAGGCAGAGAAAGTTCATTACAGCCATATCTGCTCACAAAGTTCCACCTAAGAAATACCGAAAGAGCATTCTGAGGCTGATTTTACCTGGGATATTGAATTTGCTAGCACACTCCTTCACATTGGAGAATTCCACCAGGGAATTATTAGTAATTCTTCACTTCAGTGTGACAAAGTTTTTGTGTGCATTGGTGGTGATGGAGAAGGGTTTCAGAGAACGCTGGGGGCAGGCTGAAGTTTTATAAGTAGTCTGTGCGGGGCTTCTATAATTCTTAACTTAAGAATGTGTGATTGCCAAGGGTTGAGCTTCAGCATTTGGAAGTAAGAGAATGTGTCGAGATGGGGAATTCACTTGAGTTTCACAGGCAAAGAAGAAATAAGGAATGCTGAACAAAATGCTCATGATGTAGGGTTGTCAATCCCCAGGTGGGACCCAGAGATCCCCCGGAATTACAATTGATATTAAGACTACAGTGATCAGTCCTCTTGGAGAAAATGGCTGCTTGGAGGGTGGATTCCATGGCATTATAATCCACTGAGGTCCCTTCCCTCTCCAAACTTTACCCTCCCAAGGCCTCTGCCCTCAAATCTTCAGAAATTTATCAACTTGCAGTTGACAACCTTAGTCATGCAGTTTGATTTCTGGCCATGAAATCTGTTACAGTGAGGATAAGAAAGTCCATAAAGAAACTACTGTTGACTCCATATACTTTTCATGCCTATTGTCAGCCATCTGCTGCTGCTTCAGTATCATTTACTTGAAGCTGCCTTTTCACTGCATGATCCTAGCCAATCAGCAACCACATACTGAACATGATGAGGTCATGTGGCCCCATAGGCAATCAGATGTTGCCAATGAAGCTCATCCATGACCTCCACTCTGAATGGGTGGAAGGAGGGAGACAGAATGCTCCCTGACTCAAGGTACTGAGCTAGCAATTACATAAATACTTTCTGTAGGAAAAAACTTTACCCCAGTTCAGCCCTCGTCATCTACAGTAATGCAAGACTGGTTGGGACACATCTGAATGAACAATCCACTGAAAATAATGCAATATCAATTGATAACATCTGCAGGTAGATCTCTATCTTATACTTCTAAATGCACATATCTACTGTGACTGAACTGGTTAACTCTCCATGGTAGAGCAGAGAGTCCCTTGCATCAAAAAATAAGAAGCAACGACCTTCTTACTGCTCAAGATCTGTGAATCAATTAGCTTCTAAAAGCAAGGAAAGGTAGAGTAGAGAGAGGGAACATCAGTCCTCTTGGCTCAGCAACAGGCCACCAAGAACCAGCCTGAATAGTAAATTGAGACTTTCCAGAAGATGCACAGACTAAGGATTTGGTGAGTCTTCATGGGAAGGGATCACAAATATGATGCATTTTAGGACTTTCATCTCACATTCCTTTCCAAAAAAAGGAAACCTATATCAGTTCTCACAATTTTGATAAGATTAAGAAACACCGAATACTTTTAAAGTCCTAATAGCACAACAATCAAAAAGATATACCAAATAAGAGAACATACAAGAAGTCAATGTTTGTCCAATAAACCCATTTTGATGGAATGTCATTTTATGGGGAGTTTCCCCCTCTGATATAAATATTCCCATATATGTGATACAAACATGCATCGAGAGAGAAACTCCCCTCCATAATCATCCCCTAACCCAACTACAAACTGGCCAAGGACCATCAATAAGCAAGTATAAAGCCAACAGTCGTGATAGTCTGACCCACAAATCAAACAGTCATTAAGAAGAAGAAGAAGAAGAGATTGGATTTATACCCCGCCCTTCACTTGGAGTCTCAGAGCGGCTTACAAACTCCTTTCCCTTCCCCTCCCCCCAACAGACACCCTATACGGTGGGTGGGGCTGAGAGAACTCTGACACAAACTGCTCTTTTTCAAGGACAGCTGTGCCAGAGCTTGTGACTGACCCAAGGTCACATCAGCAGGTGCAAGTGGAGGAGTGGGGAATCAAACCCGGTTCTCCCAGATTAGAGTCCGCGCACTTAACCACTACACCAAACTGGCTCTTATAAAGAATGCTATCTATGTATTACAATTTGAAGCACTACAACATGATAAACAAATCATAACAAAATCCTTGAACCAAGGTATATAATCAACATCGTCTCCGGATTATATAACAACGATATATACAAACCACAAATTGTATACAGGAGAACTAAAAATCTCAAGGACCTCTTAATACATACCAATCATCAAACAACAACCGTTCAAAACATACAAAAAACAGGACATTTCAAATGTTTTCACTGTAGTTGCTGCAAACAAGTTTGGCAAACAGATGAAAGAATCTTACCCGGGTTTAGAATGCAACTAAAACATTACAGTTCGTGTGATACAAGTTGGGTCATGTATTTATTAAAATGTGTGAGAGAAAAAATCTATATTGGGTCTACTTCTAGACCTATTAGAACAAGAATTACAGAGCATAAATCCAAACTGAAGGTTCGGAACTTGGACACCCCACTAGCAATCCATTTTAAACAGTTTAATCATTGTTATGATAGCTTTCAATATGTTGTATTAGAAATTCTACAGAGAATTCCTGGGGAAAGGATTCATCGGTTGAACAGTGTATCTCCAAACGGACTGAATGCAGAAATCGACCTTTCATGTTTTTTGTAAACTATATGATGTTTTCTTTAAGTGTACTGCCTCCTACTACCCACCACCTGTCAGCAATCTGCAAGGTCCCTTTAATTGCACTCTGGTAGTAATCACCAGAGAGAGACGCCCGGGATCCATTAGAAACATAGCAGCCTATTTTGAGCCTGAATGTTAACTGAGATCAGCGTCCTATCTGAATTTAATTTAAGTTACTACTAGGTTGATTAGTTGTAAATACTTTGTAATTTGAAATATCTTGTATGTTTTCATAACAAAGGGAATATTACTATATTACAGATTTCTTAAGACTTGTTATCTAGCACTTATGAAACAGAGAGCTTTTGCATCATTATGTAAGTAAGATAGCACTAAGATTATTGTATTCTCTCTTGTTATTGGTGTAGCATGTATTCTAAAAATTGTCTTTTTGTACACTACAGAATATCTCCTGAAGAAGATCCATTTTTTGAAACGTTGTTATATAATCCGGAGACGACGTTGATTATGTACCTTGGTTCAAGGATTTTGTTATCATTTGTTTATCATGTTGTAGTGCTTCAGATTGTAATACATAGATAGCATTCTTTATAAGTCTTAATGACTGTTTGATTTGTGGGTCAGACTATCACGACTGTTGGCTTTATACTTGTTTACAAGGACCATCAATGCTACTCTTGGCACCAGCTTCCAGGGGAGCAAATTCTTCTTCAGATATCTGGGCACAGAGTGGAACTGGAGAGCTAGAATCACTCACATCCCATATGCTAAGGTATTTTATGTCAGGTGCTTTATCCTTTCGATCTTCTTTGAATGTGGTTTATGTTTAAAACACAGCTGGGGGCTAGGGATGGTAAAAATTGGCAGTGGAACAGAAGGGATAATTGGCAAGTATAAACATTCCTATATAAGAGACAGGAGCAGGCATTCTCATGTACAGTTTGATGCTGTGGGCTGAGGAAGGGAACATGTTGCAGAGGCTGGCTCTCAGATTACCAAGGGTTGCAATTACATTTCGTTCAGAGAAATACTTTATCAGCATACGTAATTAAATATTGTGCACAGAAAATATTTCTGTAAGGGATTATTTAGTACAAATTGATTAGTGTATTACTTCAGACAATGCAACAGTTGATCACTAAAGGAATATTAGCAGCTTATTAATTTTTATAGTATTTAGCACTGCTGTTTTGCAACCCTGTATCTGTTTCTAACCTTTATATATTGAGGCATGGCATCTTGGAAGAAAAGCTGCTGAAAACAGGGGGGGGGGCATTTCAAGGGAGGATTGGGGATGGTATTTAGAAGACAATGACTCTGATAGTGGTGCCAAGATGTTTATGGACGGATCTAGAAAAAGGATGACTTGAGGCTGATGTCAAAGGACCACAGATGGAATAACAGATGGAATAAGCACTCTGTGAAGGAGACACTGAACAGAAGCACCATCTCTGGTTGCTTCACAACCTGAGAAAACCACAGCAACAAATCAGACACAGCAGCTTTGGTGGTTAAACTCCCAGCATTCTTGTCTGCTAAAGCTCCTCCAGTCATCTCTTGACAGTGATGACACTCCAAGTCTGGCTGCCCATTAACATGGTTTGGTGATCAAGATCCACATGCTGTTCTACCAGCCTCACACACAACAAAAAAGTTCCTTTCCTTTCCTGCCTTAGCCTTACTCATTCCTAATTGCAGGTTGGTGCAGTATGACTTATACACGCCTAACCTTCCCCTTTTGTATAATGTAGGCGTGAAGAAAGTTTATCTAGGCTGCTAGAACTTGTCTGACAGTTCATAAAGGGCAATTGCTGAGAGACAGTGTGTGTGAGAGTTTCGTTCCTGAGTTCCAATCTTCTCAGCAAAGGACAATGAATATTTTTCATAGGTTGTTTATGTTATACTTGTATTTGTGCACACCGATCTTATTTGTGGAACTTTCTTTGTTTCTTTATTATGCATTCAAGAACACACCGATACCATCAGAAACCAAAGATCCAGTAAAGCTACGGCTGTATCACGTGGTCTCACTGTTGGTCTTTCGTTTGGTAAGTGCAGAGAAGTTAACTTTCTGTTTCATCTGTTTGTTTCTTCTGAGGAACATGATTACAGGGGAAAAAAGTGTGGGTTGGTTAGATGTTCTCATTACTGATGGGTTGATTGATTGATTTGATTTGTAGACCCCCCTCCCCTGTACACAGGGCTCAGGGTGGGGAACTACATTTCAATAAACACATTTATAAATCAGATTAAAATAGTTAAACAAATTCAATTACTATTACAGAAAGAGGAAAATGCATGGATATATATATATATATATAATTTTCAAATTTTCTAACAAACAAATCACAGACAAAGCAATAAAGCCATTGAGAGGACAGAGAAACCAGTTCAGAACCATAATAACAAATACAAGGTAATTCAGGAACAGAGTGATAACAATGGGAAAGAGAAGTTCAAAAGTGCAACATTTTAAAAAAAGCTCTTACCAAGTGAGGATAGAGCAGAACTCTGACTAGTCATTTTAAAACATTAAACAGTCACAGCTTTACAGGGTGACTCTGCCAACAGCATATATTCTCGGTTACACATAACAACGTTTTAATAGCATGCAACAGGTAAGTAAAAAATAAATTAGATCATGATAAAATTTATTTTTTGGAAGGCTATTGTTTAGTTAGATAGGAGACTATTGGGAACCAAAGATCAATACATTTTTCCTGACTACATTCCATTTGAGCACTAGAACTAAATGCATAAAGTTTACCCATCAGAAAATAATCCCATATACAAGTTCTCCAGGCTTGTATGGAAGGCAGTGAGCTGTTTTTCCAGTGTGGATTTTTAACAGATTTATAGCCAGCACTATTAAAAGAAGTAAGTCTCAGGACTTACACTGGTTTCAGTGGACCTTACTCTTAAATTCCAGTGCATGGGATTGCAGCATTAATTATATAGTATTTAAAGAAATGTAAATACCAATCATGTAACTGAGAGAAACTCTCATTGAATCTGTGGGATTTCCAAACAAAAATGCTTAGGATTAAATAGTAAGATACACACTGGGTGCATTCAGATGAGGCATTTACAACGGTTTAGGTGCCGGTTGGAATCGGTGTACTTACCGGCATTCACACAGTGAACATCTGCCTTCCGTCCCTAACCGTTGTAAAGAGCTTTACACCATTGTATTCTGCCACTATGTCCCCAAGTGGTGGTATCCTGAGTGCAACGGTTGTAATCACTTTACCCCCCCCATCTGATCGCTCTCCACCGTTGCAGAGCCACTTGCGTTCGGAAGCCTGAGGCTTCCGATTTTCGCCGGCCATTTTTTTTTTAAAGGTCGGCAGTATGCGCTTGGGCAAAGCTTCGCCCTGGCGTTTGTTTTTTTTTTTAAAAGAAAAGGGCCTTAGTTTAGCGTTTTGGAGGCGTCCGGGACCTCAGGGAGGCTACTTTGCTCTTTAAACTTTAAAGGTAAGTCCTTACCTTTAAAGTTTAAATGTAAGACAGGGTTTTTTGTGCATGCGCGAAGATCGCCATTCTATGGATGGCTGCCTATGCACATGCTCAAACTGAGTTTAAAAAACCCAAAAAAAACACTGATGCCCGCTGTGTGTGGACGGGCATACAGCTATGGGATTCGCAGACAGGAGGTGAGTGTGATCGTGTTTCAGCCGGCATAAACTGCACCGGTTCTAACCGGTACAGTTTATGCCGGCTGAAACGGTGCATCTGAACGCACCCAATGAGTCTTAGCCAAATGACTTGGTGTGATAAAAATGCTTAAGTTAGAATTATGTAGCAATCTGGGCTGAGCTGGAGGTGGGGAGGGGGCATTGTGCCCAAATATTGTTGGCATGCATGCATGCACAAACACCTAATGTTTTGTAAACTTCATCGAAAGACTCATGAAAGTCTTTGCCCATTAAGACTGAGGATTACTGAACTACTTTACTTACCTGCAGTGAAACTGTCATGTAGTTTATCCCATTGGCTGCATATTTTCATGACATCATCCCTTCCTAAGGTGATCACCAGTGATCTGGAACTGAATTTAAAGAATAAAATTGTACTAAAACAATAGCTGGGAGGAATTGGTGAGCTAATTAAGAGGGTAGAAGAAAATGTTTTATCTAACTGAAAACAATTTTGGGGACCGAACACTGAAATATAAAGCACTCAGCACAATGTTAGCAGTATGAAACTACTGTTAAGATTTGCATTGTGACCATCTGAAGAGGGAGGGTTCTGGTATATGGACAGTCACAATCAACCAATCTTTTAAAACCTATTTTAGGGGCATGAATTTTCTTCCTGTTGTGCAAAAAGTGTTTTTATGTTTAAATGGTTTTCAGAACCTGATATTCAGAATGTCACATACTGATTTCTGATCTACTCATGCTTTGTTCTTTCATTATTATGCAGGGGAAGATTTCTGAGAGATTAGGGATCTGCAGCCAAATTACATTTGTTAGATTTATGTTAAATATGACACCCGCTGGAGAAAAATCAAATCTCTCAATTCGGGATACAAAGTTTGAACATGTTCCAGTAAGGATTTACCAACCAACCAGCCCTTTTACTCAACCAAGGAAAGGACTGATCTACCTACATGGAGGATGTGGGATATTTGGAAGCAACAGTAAGATATTTTACATAACTTTAACATTTCCTTTAAAGGGTCACATTAACCACATGACATTATGACCATATTTCACTGGATCCAAAAAGAAAAGAAGTAATTCCCAAAATCTGCAAAGCTCACACTCATGAACCAAAATGGCCATGTCCTACTTATCATTGCTAATCAGGCTGCCCAAACATTTCTCTACTCAAAAACTGGAATTACTATAAACTGGAGGCTAGAATACCTGAGTAACATTCTCCAGCCCACTAAGACTGGAGAAAATGGCTACAACTGAAGTTTTCAGGGATATCAGTAAGAGCAGGGGTTTGGATTTGAAAGGGTTTTCTTGGACATTTTAGTTATTGCATTAATTTATTGACAAAGTACCCAAATGAACAAGAAAAAAATTGCTTTCTTCTAGTGTGCCTAGTAAGTTGAAAAATACATCTTTGTTTTGCGAAGTGGCTAGAGAAGAAAAGGGGAAAAACAGAGAAGGAAAAATATAACCAGTCATTGAGGGACACCTGTATCACCAAGAGGCAAGGAGGTTTTTTCCCCCCGAGTGAATTTAAGGGCACACCATGGTGAAGGGAAAATGGGTTTTATTGAAATCTCTATAATAATGAGATATCAACAAGTTACTAGATTAGAGAGAAAATAAAACACAATATAGCCACACTCCTTCAGCTGCAGGAACCCTGAATGACAGTGAGCCAACTCCAGGTGTTGGCCAGTGCACTTAGTGTTGCTCTGTGATTGAGCCTGAGCCGAGGTTCCCAAAGAACAGAGCTCTCAGGAACTTATATGCTATTCTAAATGTTTGTCGGGGGGGGGTGCAGGGGTCATTTGGGGGGGGCCGCAGGGGGACGCCATCCCCCAGGGTGAGGTGCGGGAGGGCGGGGCCTGGAGCTCCCTGCTGGTGCCCGCTGGAGGTCGCCGCCGGCTGTGGGGAGGACACACTTCCGGTGATGTCAGGGGGTGTGGCATATGCTGATGAGTTATGCTAATGAGCCCCCCTAGCTCTTTTTCTACGAAATGACCCCTGGGGGGGGTGCATATCATCTCTATACCTGCCCTTGAAAGGGAGTTATACATTCCAGGACCAACTTATAAACATAAGCAGTGCAAGTGTCTGGTACAAGGAACTCCCAAACTCCCCACATTCCAGTGCCAGGTGCATTTAGTTCCTGCAATAGGTTCAGGGTCCCCTTCTTCTGCCAGCTCAGAATCCCATGTAGTTGGTGAAGTCAACCAGCTCAATATTTGAGCCACCAGAGCCCAGGCGCTTGTGCCTGGCCACCCTGGGATGTGGCTCTGGCCAGTGCTCTGCACATCTTCTGCACACTTCCTTCCCCACAAGGGCATTACCTTCGAATCCTGCTGACTATGCCAATTGTATTGAAAAGAGGTTCTTTTCCCCCAAGGTATTCAAGGGCAATAAGCATACCAGTGGTGAATGAAAGGGGTTTTTATTGCAATCTCTGTAATAATGAGATATTACCAAGTTACCCTGGAGCAGCACTGAGCACACCAGCCAACACCTGGCGTCATTCAGGGTTTCTGCAGCTGAAGGGGCATGAGTATATTCTCTGTTTGATTCTCTATTCTTCTAACTTGTTGATATTTCATTATTAAAGATATTTCAATAAAATCCCTTTTCATAGAATAGAATCACAGAGTGGGAAGCGGCCATACAGGCCATCTAGTCCAATCCCCTGCTCAATGCAGGATCAGCCTAGAGCATCCCTGACAAGTTTTTGTCCAGCTGCTGCTTAAAGACTTCCACTGAGGGGAAGCTCACCACCTCCCTAGGCAGCTGATTCCACTGTTGAACAACTCTTACTGTAAAAAAGTTTTTCCTAATATCCAGCTGGTACTTTCCAGCCCTTAATTTAAACCCATTTTTGTGAGTCCTACCTTCTGCTGCCAACAGGAACAGCTCCCTACCCTCCTCTAAGTGACAGCGCTTTAAATACTTAAACAGAGCAACCATGTCCCCCCTCAACCTCCTCTTCTCCAGAGTGAACATTCCCACAGCCTTTCCTTATAGGGCTTGGTCAACAGGCCCCCAATCATCCTCATCACTCTCCACTGCACATTCTGTCCACATCCTTTCTGAAGTGAGGCCTCCAGAATTCCACACAATACTCCAGGTGTGGCCTAACCAATGCAATGAACAGCAGGACTATGACATCTTGCGATTTGGATGCTATGCCTCTGTTGATATGGCCCAGGATCACATTAGCCTTTTTTGTCACCACATCACATTGACTGCTCATATTTAACTTTCAGTCAACCCCAAGATCTTGTTCACACACACTGCTACCCAGAAGTGTATTCCCCATCCAGTATGCATGTTCCTCATTTTTTTTAAATCCAGATGTAGAACTTGGCACTTATCCTTGTTAAATTGCATCTTGTTCACATCCGCCCACTTTTCCAGCATGTTCAGATCGCGTTGAATTCCATCTCTATCTTCTGGTGTGTTTGCTGCTCCTCCCAAGTTGGTGTCATCTGCAAATTTAATGAGTAGCCCCTCCACACCCTCATCCAGATCATTTATAAAAATATTGAAAAGTATTCAGCCCAGAACCAAGCCCTGTGGCACCCCACTAGACACCTCCATTCAGATGAAATGCCATTGACAACTATTTTGTTTCCTTCACCATTGTGTGCTTATTGCCCTCAAAGCCCTTGGGGAAAAATAACCCCTTTGCCCCTTGGAAATACAACATTACAGAAAGTTTCTCTTGTGTCTTGGGCAGTTCACCAGTGGAGCCATGGCTAAGGGCAGCACATCTGCTTTGCATACAGAAGGTTCCAAGTTCAATCTCTTGACACCTCCAGCTAACAAGAGCAGGTAGTATATGATGTAAAAGATCCCCCACCTGAGTCCACAAAGAGCCACCACCAGCTAGAGTACATAGATCAAGCAGTCTGACTCAGTATAAAACCATTCAAAACATGAAACTACAGTCACCTCAGCAGCAATGTTCCCTCTAAGCTGTGGAGTCTTGTGAGCAAAAACTCTACTTTGTGAGCGACTAGCATTAAAGTTGTGAGCGAGTGATTTGTCTACTGCATAAATTAGTTTGCTCTGGAGCCCTCCTTCGTGAGTGAAGACAAAAATGTGTGAGCCGGAGGCTAAAAAACTGTGAGGTAGCTCACCCTAACTCAGCTTAGAGGGAACAGTGCTCAGCAGTGAGCTAGATCCCAAAAATTACCTGGAAATAGACTTAGGACCAGTGTTCCCTCTAAGCTGAGTTAGTGTGAGCTAGCTCACAGTTTTTTAGCCTCCAGCTCATGCATTTTTGCCTTAGCTCAGGAAGGATGGCTCCAGAGCACACTAATTTATGCAGCAGCCAAATCACTTGCTCCCAGCTTTAATGCCAGGAGTTCACAAAGTAGGATTTTTGCTGATAAGACTCCACAGCTTAGAGGGAGCATTGCTTAGGACTGAGGTGGCAGGTATGAGGCCAGCAGTAGTGCTGCCCAAGTCTGGAGCTGAGGTGGATTTACCTCAAGTTTTCGTAGGCCACTTGCCACTGGCAAATTCCACAAAAAGTTAGGGTTTGGGTTTTTTAATAAATGAATAAATAAAAACTTGTGTCTGTGCCTGACTACTTTTTAAAAAGTTTTTAAATAAATAGTTGTGTTTTTTTTTAAGAATTGGGCAGGAAAGCTTGGCAAGCACCTTGAGACATCTGTTGGTGAAACAAGTTCATGTACTCCAGCCACTTATCAGTGGTATAGCCAAGGTGTGGTCAGGATATGTAGAGGGCAGTCACTGATATTTCTTTACATATAAAATTTGTCTTGAAGCAGTGGTTAGGAGCACAGACTCTAATTTGGAGGACCAAGTTTGATTCCACATTCCTCCACATGCAGCTGCTGGGTGACCTTGGGCAAGCCACAGTTCTCTCAAAGCTGGTCTCTCAAGTTCTCAAAGTGCTGTCTCAGCCCCACCTACCTTACAGGGTGTCTGTTGTGGGGAGAGAAAGGGAAGGAGATTGTAAGCCACGCTGAGACTCTGGTGGGGTATAAAACCAACCTCCTCCTCACAACAGAGGTTTTTTTCCAGTGGTATTCCTTACATATTATTGGTGTGAATAACTGTTCATGTGATAACTGTACTCATGAGAACAGTATATCACTAGGGCAGCAAACTCACATAGGATTGCAGAAGCTGGAGTGCCTTTCACATGAGGAGAAGTGCAATGTTGAGATTCTTTAACAGTTGGTGCTTTGATAATATGTAGCTCCCAAAATGAAATTCCAGGAACAGCTTGCAAATTCAGGTGAGACTTACTACGGTTCATGACTTTAAAACCATTACTGTACTCCTGAAGCAAGCAGTATAAAGTATGCTGAATATGTGTTATGATCACAGCTACAAAAAACCAGTAAAAAACCCCACAACCCTAGCAAACTAAAACCATGATGATTAGTTTGAATACAGCAGATAATGGAGTCAGAAGTGTTGATGAAACCCATAGGAGACAGAATGTTTCTTTAAGAAACATAAATGTAATCACTGTAGCAAGGTCATTCCAGGGCAACTACAGCCTAGGCTTTTAGGAAAAGGCACTTAGAAGCAGTTATCAACTAGATTATACTCACATTTTCATAGAAGGGTTGTGGTGAATTTCTAAGGAAGGGACAATCAGCCCAGGAATCAAATATAGTCTCCAAGGTAATTCTGACTCACCCCAGTGGCCCTACCAGTTTTAATCAAGTAATGAAAAAAGAGCTGTACCACAATGTCATTGTGTTCTGCTCAGGCAAAACAGGAGCCCATCAGCTGTGTGAACTGGGAGCACAATATACCTGTTTTGTATGATCACTATTTAGTGTGAACTAGAACATATGGTTTTCCATGGATATACAGCTTCTAGTCATCTGAACCAGGATACTGTTCTTCCAGAATTTTGATATGTGTGAACAGAAGTTGTGCCCACATGGAAAATACATATATTGTCCTAATCACATGAGACAGAGGCCAAATGGATCAGATACATTGTGGAGACACACACAAATCTGATATGAATGGCTGGTGAGCTTCCAGTTCCCATGAACAGAATTAAATGGAATGTCTGCAGAATGTATAGACTGCCTGAAATTTTATTTGAAAGGAAAAGACAAATTATTTCAAGATTAAAAAAAACAGATAGTCCATACTTTAATATTAACTCTCACTTTTTGATTTATAGGTAACTAGGAAAAAGGCCTGTTGTGGAAATAAATACAACAGCCTCTAGAAAGAGGCTCTGGGCAGGTGCCCCGGCCTTGGACACTCAGTGTCAATTTGCTGTGGCGACCTCAGCAGGGTATAATGACACTGAGTCCACCATTTTCTCCAGAGGAAATGATCTCTGCTACCTAAAGAACAGTTGTAATTTTGAGTGATCTCCAGCCCTCACCTGGAGATTGGCAACAATGGTTCCCCAGAAGGGAATAATTGGTTTGGAGGGTGGAGTCTATGGCTTTGTACCTGTCCGAGGTCCCACGCCTCCTGAAACCTTACCCTCTCCAGGCTCCATCCCTCACATCTCCAGGAATTTCCCACCTGGAGTTGGCAAACCTGTCTCCTTCCCAGCCAATCATCAACCTACCTTTATTTCCCCCTCACTCTTCAGCTTTCCACCCCCCACACACCTGCAGCCTCTCCCGTGTTCTGAGGCCTTGACTTCCACGTCACATTGGCTGTCATGGGGGCCACCTCAGCAGCATATTACAGAGCCCACCATTTTCTCCAGTGGAACTGATCTCTGCCACCTGGGAAGCAGTTGTAATTCTGAGTGATCTCCAGCCCTCACCTGGAGACTGGACACATTTTACCTCAGAACAGCAAACTGTTTAGAATATTAGAGGCAAAAACCAATCAAGTCGCATATGCAAACGACCTCTGTGTTCCGAGGCAGAGGCCAATGAGGCTGCATATGCAAATAACCTCTGTGTTCTGACTGGTTGTGGGGGGGGGAGAGGAAGAGCAAACTGTTTAGAATGTTGGAGGCAGGACTCAGACAAAGCAGCCAGTGGATAGGGAGACCCTCTGAATGACAGATCAGAGAGCGAACTGATTTTGGAGTGTGTGGAATGTTCTAGAGAAGTGCCACCACCTTTTGGCTTTTATTTATAAAGGAGATAAGTAAGTAGTAAGGTAAATACACAGATTTATATGTGATTCTATGCCATAGAGCTCCTTTATTTTTGCTGAGAAGTTGTTTCTGTCAGATGGCACCAACTTTATTATGGAAGAGGTCAGTTTGAGAAAATTTATTTCTGACCCTGCAGTGAAGAATGGAGTGGACTCTCAGAAGTTGGCCCCATCCATGCTCTAAAGCCTTGATGTCAGAAGGACAGTTCTACAGTCATCCCAGAATCCCCCAAAGTTACCCAGGATGCTATATTACCGAACACTAAATTTAGATACTTCCACAATGGCACAGGATACAGACTATTATAGATACGGTATGCTGCTTCCTGAATTCCAAGCAGAATGAAAAAATCAAACCATCACTTCAGTTCTTCATTTTACATGATACCGGTGGATCAAAGAACTCAGCTAACTACTCTAAGGGGTTTAGCCGTGAATATTGACAGTCACCTAAATGTAACTATCAGCATTTTCTGGCCTATGTCCAAAAAGTAGGGAAGTAAACATCTATTTTCAGACATTCACAAAAATCCACAGATGAATTCATTACATTTTAATTGTTCACTGTAACTTACCACTGTCCAGAGAATAAAGTGATTTCTATCCACCACTTAAGCTTTATCTACTTGCAGAAATTCAATAATACTAATTATTCTTCTGTAGTAAAGAGCTACCTAAGACATTTTTAAACATACTAAGACTTTTCCTTCCCAGGAGGCTATGAACGAGTATGCCGCCATCTTGCCCGAAAAAGTGACTCAGTGGTTGTTTATGTTGAGTAAGTGTGCTTTGGATTCTCTTCATTAAAAAGAGGTTAAGGAAACTCAACTCTTTAGCCAGAAAAACAAAGGCCTAGTTTTCAGATGGATGCATAAACCTTGTCAGTCTTTCAGATCTTTCCTGCTTAGTTTTGCCTCTTGCTGTACAAGAATAGAAAGAGTGCATGTTTTCTGAGTACAACTACTCATCTTTTAATCAACCATTAGGATGTAGTTACACTGAAGGTATCAGAGGAAAGGGTAGAAACCGGGGCCTTTGAAAGAATGAGGCTAATAAGCATTATACAATTTTCTGTTTGCGTTGCTAGCTTATTTCTATAATCATCGTTCTATTACATTGTTTACTGGGTGTTTTAAGCTGTCTGACTGTATTGTTTTCAATGGTCCCGTTCACACTAGGCAATTTGGGCCGGGAGCGGGACAGTTCGGGGGCGGAGCAAACCGGCGCAATCACACCACAACATCTGGGAAGCGTCCTGCTTCCGTACCTGAACTGGCCCTTTCCCGTGAAAATCCGCCGCAACTTGCAACCACCTACCTTGGTGGTTCATCGGGAAGCTGCGCGGCAAGCCAGGCGTTTGATCTCCGGCGCGTCCTTGCGCCGGCACAACCCCGGCCCGTAGCCGAACTGCACATGCTCCGACATGCGCAGTTCGGCCGGCTCCCGGTCAAAGCCGTGTTTTCTCCCCGGCGTTTGATCGTGCTGGGGAGAAAAGGCGCCACGGCCAGGGGATCCATGGGATCCCGTCGCGGCGTCTCAACGTTGGCGCGGCTTTTAAAAGCCGCGCCTTTAGAGGCTTTTCCCCTGCCGTGTGGCAGGGGCCAATATTTAGTAATCCATTTTGAACCTCAGTGAGAAAGGGAGCCATAAATGAAGTACATAAACAAAGCATTAGGAGTGAGTAGCACCCTGTCACCTTCAACCATAGACTGGTACCTCTGAGAAGCAGTGATTGCCCAAGATAGTTTGGAGTAAAATGGCATTCCTTATCTGTGGTTATGAACAGATAATGACAAATTATGCTCAGATCTACTTTGGGGGGAGGGGGGATTTCTTGTCCTACTAATGATTCATCTAGTCCAGCTGAAGAGGCTCCAAAATTTTGACAAAGTTTGAGAACCAATGCTTTGATATTTCAGGTATCGACTAGGTCCTGAGCACCAACATCCAGCCCAGTTATTGGACTGTCTCACAGCCACGACATATTTCCTGAACAAGTCAAAAGACTATGGAGTGGATCCTAACAGCATTATTCTTGTGGGAGAAAGCAGTGGAGGTGCACTTGTTGCTGCTGTTTGCCGAGAACTGGTAAAAAGATCAACTACCCCAAAGATTCGAGCCCAGATCCTGATCTACCCATTCCTGCAGATAATGGATCTTTCTTTGCCATCCCATCAGCAAAATCAATTTGGTCCTGCCTTGACCCGACCGCGGGCTATGAAACTTGGCTTAGTGTATATGAACGCCAACATTCAGGATGTTGAAAGACTCATGAACAATGCCCACGTTCCTGAGTTCATGAAGATGAAATATAAGAAGTGGCTTAGTGCAGACTGCATTCCAGAGGAATTTAAAGCCAGAGGCTATAAGCCACCACCACCCATTCCATTTTCAAAAGAACTGTATGAACAAACCAGACTGAATGACGAGACAATGCTGTCACCAATTTTAGATGAGGATGCCATTGTCCAACAGCTCCCTCAGACTTACCTTTTAACCTGTGAATATGACTTAATAAGAGATGATGGACTTCTATACAAGAAACGTCTAGAGGACAATAATGTGGCTTTGACATGGAATCATATGAAGGATGGATTCCATGGACTTATAATGTTTGTTGACACTGGGCCACTTGAGTTTTCATGTACAAAAACAGCAATTGAAAATATACTGAAGTTTATAAGGGGGTTATAAGAATGACAACAACCAGCCTGAGAGTTCTGATCTCCTACTTTCATAGTACCTGGTAAATATCCCTGGAGAACAAGTAGCAGCTGAAGTGATTTCTACCCATTCTCTGAAGGAAGCTTTTCATATAGGCCTGTGAGGCTGCTTCTGTACTATGTTGGAACTTTGGGGGCTTTCTCTCTCTCCACAGAAGCCTCCCTCCGCATCCCCCTGAAAGTCCAGGCCTTCCAGTGCAATATCCAACAACAGTACCAGCAACTGCAGACAGAAATGAAAATTAGGCAAAGTTCCATGTGTGTGTGAAAGCATTTCGCACATGCACATGGGGCTCATAAAAGGGCAGCATGTACTGTATAATTATGTAATGCAGGAGTCTTTCCATTCTGTATGAAAATTCTGGTCCTGTCTGGGCAGAACTGTGTAGGAGTATAACATGGCACATAAGTAGGTGAACATAATAGGTGAAGATTTCTCCTCAATCCCTTCCCATGACAGTGCCTATGTTGTAACTTGCAAATTCAATCAGCTTGATACTAAACTTTACATGCAAGACATGCAGCCTACTGTTAACACATACTCAGAAGTGTAACTGAATTCACTGGGGGTTGCTTCTAAGAAAGTATGCACACGATCGCAGCCTGAACTGTAGACCTCTCCTAGTATAAAAGCCTGTGTCTTTTTACCTACCCATATTAGTAGCCGCCTTCTCTGGTAAAGCCATGTGCTAATTAATTCCAGCTTTCTTGATGAATGTTTACCTTAAAAATTCAAATTGTACACTTTGAGATTATTTATATCATTCTCCTAATTTCTCATTTGCAATAAAATGTATTCTGACAGTTAACACTACAATGTCACGGTTATGTATGCTGATCCTATAGCATGCACTACTGCCAGCACAGAACCTTTTAAGAGGCAGAGAATATGTGTGAAAATGTTCATTTGATCACCCTCCCCTTCCTACTCACTGTATCCTTATGAATATCATTTTTCTCCATGCACATCATCTTTATAAAAGCTATCTACATTTGACATCTGACCTCAGCAGAGCAGTAAGATTTTATGTCTTGAAAGAACATTTTTAAATTCATTTGTAAGTACCACACGATTTTTGTCAGGTCCTCCCATTGTTTAGAAGTTTTTATATCTCTCAAGTTAGTGGCATGGGGGGATGTAGGCAAAACTGCCTATCTGGAACTTGAGTAGAGCCAGTATTCCTTGCTTGTATTAGCAAGAGAGATGGCTCATCGTTTTATTGGCCTGCCTAGGTGCGTGTGGGAAAACCAGAGGAAAGGAGCTAGAGGCCTATATAGTGAGTAAATGTGGAGGTCAAGTAAGATAATCAGATCCTTTAATGAAGAGAATGGCACAGGAAATGGAATACAGGGAAAACTCAAAGTACTGAAATTATTTGGGGGACTACATTTTTACTCACCAGTGTACTAGCTTGGGAGGAAAATCATTTAAAAGACTGAATGAAATTATTATTTTCTATACTGATGTCTATGCCCTCCCCCCATTGAGTGTGAGGCCTGGGACAGCTGTCCCCATTTTGTTGTTGTCCAGTTGCACAGTCAAGTCCAATTCTTCGCAACACAATGGACCACATCATGCCAGGCCTGCCTGTCTTCTGCCATCCTCTGGAGTTTGCTCAATTTCATGTTTGTTGCATCGATAACACTGTCTAACCATTTTCATCCTTTGCCAGTTTGGTATAGTGGTTAAGTGCGCGGACTCTAATCTGGGAGAACCAGGTTTGATTCCCCATTCCTCCACTTGCATCTGCTGGATGACCTTGGGCAATCCATAGTTCTGGCACAGCTGTTCTTGAAAAAGAGCAGTTTCTGTCAGAGCTCTCTCAGCCCCACCTACCTCACAGGGTGTGTGTTGTGGGGAAGGGAAAGGAGTTTGTAAACCGCTCTGAGACTCCTCTGGGTAGTGAAGGGCGGGGTATAAATCCAATCTACTCTTCCTCCTCCTCCTCTCCTCTGCCTCCTCCTCCTCCTCTTCTTCTTCCAATCATTCCCAGCATCAGAGTCTTCTCCAATGAGTTCTCTCTTCTCATTTGGTGGCCAAAGTATTTGAGCTTCAGCTTCAGTATCTGGCCTTCCAGGGAATAGTCAGGGTTGATTTCCTTTAGGATTGACTGATTAGATGTCCTTGCAGTCCAAGGGACTCTCAAGAGTTTTCTCCAGCACCATAATTCAAAAGCATCTATTCTTCGGTGCTCGGCCTTCCTCACAGTCCAACTCTCGCAGCCATACATTACTACTGGGAATACCATCACTTTGACGATACAGACTTTTGTTGGTAGGGTGATGTCTCTACTTTTTATTTTGCTGTCTAGGTTTGCCACAGTTTTCCTCCCAAGAAGTAGGCGTCTTTTAATTTCCTGGCTGCAGTCACCGTCTACAGTGATCTTGGATCCCAGGAACATGAATTCTCTCACTGCTTCTAAGACTTCCCCTTCTATTTGCCAAGGAGTGATGGGGTCAGATGCCATGATCTTAGTTTTTTTGATGTTGCGTTTCAAGCCAACTTTTGTGCTCTCCTCTTTCACTTTCACCAAGAGGCTCTTTAGGTCCTCTTCACTTTCTGCCATTAGAGTGGTATCATCTGTATATCTGAAGATGTTGACGTTTTTCCTGGCAATCTTAATTCCTGTTTGTGCTTCATCCAAGCCAGCATTCCGCATGATGTACTCTGCATATAAATTAAATAAGCAGGGTGATAATATACATCCTTGTCATACTCCTTTTCCTATTCTAAACCAATCAGTTGTTCCCCATTACCATCACCTTAAAAAGGGACTCGATGATGCTAAAGAAGTCTTAGGACCTCCTCAAACACTGCAGCATTATTTGCTTGCCACGTTCCACAGCAAGCTTAAGACTGTTTCCAGTTAAAAGCAAACCATCAAATCTGTGTAATAAAAATTAAAGTCAATCACATCAGCATACATAAATAGCTTTTAAACTCACTTTACTAAAACTAAAACCAACAGTAATGTCAAAGCTTTAAAAAGGTTATCAGAAATACAAATGTAGCCATATAATCTATATACTTAGAAATGAGAATATGACACCTGTTTAAGTATGCCCCTACGATTTTTAAAAATATGTCTTTAAAAATTTAAAGTATGAACACAACAAATGAACAGACAGCAAGACACATCCAGTCAGTGTGCTCAGAAATCTGTAGAGGCTCCTTGTTAGAGTCCATATTTGCACAGAAATCATTCTTATAACCTAGTAATCCTGTTGAGTTTAAGGGCTAGCGATTATTACTGAAGAGGGAAGGACATGCTGTACAGAGACCTCTTGTCATCTGTCAGAGACTCCAGGGCCTGAACCAGGAGGCTTGGATCTGGGACCATGTGTTCAAGCCTTAGATCTTTCTTCAGCTGCAAAAGGCAACAAGGGTACATGCTACATCACCCACTGTGATTGCAGGCACTGTGGATCTGGAGTGTGCAAATATTAGGAGCCAGGCCATCTACATTCACCCTGATCAACTGAGTGGCACTTTCTGTTTTCCAAATGTCAGCCAACCAGTTTAAATTTTAGTATGGTTGCTCTCCAAAATCCCTGGCACCAAAAGCAGACTCTGGGACTTGGTGCCAGAATCTGTTTCATGTTCTGTAACTTGTACTTGCACTGTTAGCTGCCTTGAGTCCAAGGAAGTAAAAGGTAAAGGTAAAGGTTCCCTTGCTCGAAAGCCAGTCGAATCTGACTCTAGGGTTGCAGTGCTCATCTCCGTTTCAAAGCCGAAGAGCCAGCGCTGTCCGAAGACGTTTCCGTGGTCATGTGGCCGGCATGACTAAACACCAAGGAGCACGGAACGCTGTTACCTTCCCACCGAAGTGGTACCTATTTATCTACTTGCAATTTCTTGCTTTCGAACTGCTAGGTTGGCAGGAGCTGGAACTAGAGACAGGAGCTCACCCTGTCTTGCGGCACCCGGGTCTTGAACCACTGAACTACTGACCTTCCACAGCCTGCAGTTCAGCATCTTAACCACTTGAGCCACCGCAGTACAGTTGGACATAAAAATATTAAGTAAATAAATAAAACCCACCCATAAGGCCATCCTCATAGTACTAGTCATGGACAGGGCAAATTCCAGGAAAACAACTATGAAGTCCAAATAAACAATTACAACTCCAGTGGGGATTTTTATCTCCCCTCCCTTTTTAAAGTCTATGTAGCTCAAAGACTGCCGGACTAATAATGGCCATATCGTGCTGGATTCAAAGCTCCACCTGCAGCCAGTCTCCACAGCTCAATTACCGCTGCTTTAACAGGGCCAATTAGCATTCCTCAGAGCTAGATATCTTTGAATGACAGGTAACCATGGAGAGGCACAATCCAGTAAGCAATCAAGACTCTCTGTTTTTCTTTTTAATGAAATATAAGAAACCCATCTTTAAAGACACATTTCATGCCATATCTGTTATTATTCCTGGGTTGCCAAGCTGGCAAAAGGAATGCTAGCATTGTACCAAACCTCACCCCCAATCATTTCTGAATGAAGAGAAAACAAAAACTGGGTGATACGTAGAAAAATATTGTTTGTGTTGAAAGCATATTTTCTGTGTGTGTCTGTGAGTGTGCGTGTCTTCTCCCTCCCTTCACAACCAGTGATGTACAAAAAGCCAAATGGTAGCTGCTTCTCCGGGGAGAGTTAGCTAGGACACACAAACATAAGCCTTTATTCTCCTACCATGATACACCAGCCCAAATTTATTCCTGTTTCTAATAAGACCTGCTTGTTATTGTTACCGGAGTCTGTGTGAAAGCAGGAATTACCTAGAAATCAATTAGGTTTTGCTAAGCATTTCCTTGTTCTGCTTACAAAAAAAACCCAGGTGTTCTTCCTTTGCAATGATGCAAAAAGCATAATAAGCCAGGTGATTGACTGAAGTTAAATGTATTTGTCATTATGAAATGTATTAAGGAATAATTGGAAAAAATCTAAAGCACACACAAGGGACCACAGCACAAGCCTTCTAGGCACGTGTGACATATTTCGAAATAGTTTATCTTTTCCAGGGATCATACCGGTTCTCTAGCACCTCTCAATCTCAAGTCCCTGTTGTTACCACGTGTCATCTGAACATATGTATTTTGGACATGAGTTTTATTGGAATGAAAGATCTTTCTGACTAATAACTCTTGTGAGCTTGAAACAGAGAATGAGATCCAAATATATACTGAAACAGAGACAGCATTCATTGAAGGGAATAATCAGTACACTCAAGCAGAATAAAATCAACCACACAAAAGTTAAGAAATATTAGAGTGCCCGTACTGAGATGCAAGTGTTCAAAACACCCGCACTCTTATGCATAGTTCATCGCTCAAGAGGAAAGTTGAGGGATGAAAGTGGGAAAGCAGATGGGGGGGGCAGAGGTGTAAATTGCCTATCCTGAAAAAGGATCCATTAGCAGAGATCCCCAAGTGTCTAGGAAGTAGCTAGTAATCCAGATGGGGGACATTGGAACCAGATGGGGGACATGGACCAGGTGGGTATAGAGACATCCAGAGTGGTGCTTGCCCAGTGTCAAAAGCACAGACCTAAACTAATAAGTCCAAATAGACATCCAAAGGAAAAGGCAGATTCAGTCTGCTACGCAAAGTAGGCCTGAGCACAGCAAGGGAGCTGAGACTCAGCACAAGGGGTGTGCATTCGGTATAAACCAAACCAAATAAATACCCAAAAAAAATCCTTATCAGGAGCTACAGGAGATGTTTGAGAATGCTTTTTCCCTACTGGAATAAGAAGAATACTCATGTAATACTATGGATATTTGTGTTCCATCTAATGATTGAACTGCTGATTTGAATTGCTGTCCACTTTAATGTTGTGGTGCAACTAGAAACAGTCTATGAAAAGAGCTTTGCGCAATTTAAGAAGAGCAATTCTTGAAAAGGAAATTTTGAAACAGATTG